AGAGAGGTATCCATAAGAGGGAAAAAGATCCGAATAATAACAGATTGACAACAAAATGAATACCGAAGGCGACGAAGGTGCCGTTGGCCTTGAAATAGCTGATCCAAAAATAGGTTGGATATATAAGCTGAAAAAGGAAGGTCTAGTAATGGAATTACGACGACTGAACTTACAGACCGATGGAACAGTAGACGAGCTACGACGCCGACTAGTAGCATATCTGAGAGTCGAACCACCGAAAGATCAACCTACACCCTCCGCAACACCAGGAACGATGACCAGACCGCCACAACCGCCGTTTGACTTTGATCTACTGAATCAAATCCGAAAACTAAACGTTGTGTTTGATGGAAAAGCCGATCCCGTCTCATTCCTAGAGAGACTTGAACAATTACAAGAAGAATATGGCATAACCGACCAGCAGCTGTTGAGGACGCTGCCGGGTTTACTGCAAGGCAAAGCAAATCAATGGTATATGAATTATAAGAGCCAATGGAAAAATTTCTAAGATTTCCTTGAAGATTTCAAAATTTTCTTTTACCCACCGGATTACCGTGACAATATGGAAGAAGGCATTAGTAAAACCTACCAGAACCGTCAGACCACCGCCAAAGACTTCATTTTGGACATGCAGACCATGATACGACGCCATGGAGGTTTCTCTACAGAAAGAGAACTAACATGCATTTACCGACGGCTAAGACCAGAATACCGACAATATATCCGCATAAACGCTGTTAGCAATGTAACCGAGCTATTACAGCAGGCCTACGAGTTTGAACAAATCCAACGGGATATGGATAATTCCGATAAACCGAATAAAAACATTCAGCCAATTGGGATGTCCCGAACTACCACTCCTGCTGTACCGCGTATCACTGAAGTACCAGGACGTGATACAAGCCACCGACCGTCGCCGACCCACGTTCGCACTCCAAGAGAAGGAGACAATCTTACATGCTGGAGATGTGGAGAACAAGGACACACAAGATTTAATTGCCGACAACCACCGAAACTGTTTTATTCACGATGTGGACGACAGGGAATTCAATCGCGACATTGCCAATGTACCGAATCCCAGGAAAACTCCCGCAGAACTGGGCCACAAGGAAGCCAAATCAATTCTCGACTAGAGAGTTCCAATCGACGCAACAATTCTGACTCTTACCCCATTAACGCCACCCACTCCGTCTGTGTGGGTAACCGACTGCGTGAAGTAGTAACAATAGGCGACAGAAGTTATTCTGCGTTGGTCGATACAGGATCAGTCCGATCCTATATTAGCCAGCAAGTTGCTACTTATTGCCAGCGCATCGGAATCCAGAAATTGCCGTTGAAACAGCAGACAAACGCTGAGTTGGCTGATGGAACACTTATTGAAATTACCGAAGAGTACCGCATTGAAGTTTCCATATTATCAACCGTAGTTACCGCCGATTTTCTATTGCTACCGTCGTTGACCACCGATATGGTCCTTGGGATGAATTTTCTCACCGCCAATGGTTGCACAATCGACCTGAAAGGTAGAAATGTTCATATGGGGAACCGCACAACCGCCATTGTTCACCGCACCGCCAACATAGCACTAGTTCCGACGTCCAACCGATAGAACAAGAGAGCCTACCAGATTGCCGAATCCGAATCCTATCAAGCAGAGATTCCGTGCTCGGAATCCGAGCATGCAAGAAGTAACAAACAAAGTGACAAACGCTTTGTCACGCCGCCCCTTACCGAACACTGAAATTTCCGCCATAGAAAACCCGCCTACTAATGACAGGTATTTATCCAGAGTCATCATGGATACGCCATCATCGAACCCCTTAGGCCAGAGGTTGCCGGAAATCTTCGAACCCAGTCCACCAGAGGGGAGTCCAACGTATTGCCTAAACATAGATACGTCCCCATTACCTGAGTCACCGCCGCCACCGGCACCTGTGCCGCAATTGGTGACACCACTGGCCGCCACTCCGCTGCCAATCACACCGGGACGATGGATGCCATCTCCACGGCCTCCACCGAACCCGACCGGACCGGCCCCACCGACAAGCCTGCCGGTGCGGAATCTGCGGCCGCCCGACTGGCCGATACCGAAAAGACAGTGTTTTATTTGTGATAGGAGATGAAGTTTTAGTTCTAGTTATTATTTGGAAGTTATAGAAGTTGTATTTTGTTCTTTTCATTACATAATCCGAAGTCATATTATTTTTTTAGTTTAATTGTAAAAGGAGGTATATGCGCTGTAATAAAGGACTATCCACAGAGCAGGCTTACCCCTTTTATTCATTTTTTTTCGAAGAGAGGGAGGAGTGTAACGAACCTTTTATTAATTTATCCGTTAAGTACCCGATGAACTATTATCTTTTCCTATGTTAGCAATGTAAGCGTTGAACTCTGTATTTATTGTGGGTCTACGTACTAACAACCGACGAACCGTTGATCTACGTCACAAACCGGCTATAAAAGGCCGACCTCCGGCACATGAGATTCAGTAGTGTTGATCGGCAATATCCTCAACACGAAGTAAGTCCGCCTTCCCCCTTGGTATCGGCAATATTCCTACCAAGGTTCCTTTCTCCCTATCCGTCCGTCTGAGAGCAGAGCGTCGGCCATATCCCGCCTGTTCTCAGCATCCGCCCTATCCGTCCGTCTGAGAGCAGAGCGTCGGCCATATCCCNGGAACTTTTTTTTTTTTTTTATTGTCAAACAAGAACATAATTTCACATTTTGTTTCAGAAAAATTGAGAGTGATGCTTTTAAAGTGATAGCCACAATAGATGTCGATTCCAGTAACTTTTACAATAAGGAAGAAATTAGACAAACCGTCTTCGACCAAATCGACAGCAACCGCAGGATAGGAAACATTATTACACTGCCCGAAAACTTTTATTTCAGCGAATTTGAAGGTATATTTATAAATCTTTTGTATGTTCAAAATATTCTTTTGATTGGTGCTTCATTTTTTGTTGTTTTTCTTTAAATAATAAAATGCTACCTAAATATATTTTTGCATTTTATGTCTGTTTTAGTTTTGTATGTTTTATACGATTTTTTTTAATTTTATTTAGAAGTAAACTGTGATTCAAATCAATTAAAGTGCCAAACTGGTGAATGTGTTCCAATATATGCTCGTTGCAATGGAATTAGAGACTGCAATGATAACTCTGATGAAGAAGGATGTCCCGGTATGCTTTTACATTTTCTTTAGTTATCCATTTCCATTCTCCTACCTACTTTGGTTGCTTCTCCTTAGCACCTACTTTGGTTGCCTTTATACCAAATATTAACCCACTTGATGAGCCCCTAAGTTATTTATTATAAGTAATTTAAGTTTTATGCATTAAATAATACTACAGAAATAAATATAGGAGTTGACAAATATGGATTATGTATTGCAACTTATACATAAGCTGTAGGTAAAATGATACGAATTTATCTTCACATTTATACCATACGCTGTTTCAATTACTTATAATTAATGCTACCTCCTACTAACTAAACTGCCTACTATCCAAAAATAAAAAAAATTGCTTAACATTTTTTTTACAATATTCGAGTACAGCGTATAGAGACGTTAATTGATTTCGTTGCTGATATTTCAAAGTTTTTAATTCAGATTTGATAATCTTAATTTAGCTCATAATGTGTACCTACTCAACCAGCACTTACCATGAGATCGGGAGACTATAATGGCAATTTTTTAATTCTGTTTAGACAAATTTACAAGGATTGTTAAAATAAGATATTCATATTTTTAATGCTTCAATGCTCATTATTTAATAATAAATTATAATGAGGGTCATGATCTAGTACTCGTTTTGCTTTTAAACAAAAATTATTCAGCCTATTAAAAATATATGTCTCTATTTACACCATCTGAACATTGACTTATTTTGCTACATAATCAACACAAACTAAAACTAAAAATTAGTCATGGTGTGAGAGATAAAAGCTCGTATTACCAGTTCGTGGAACTTTACCCACGGTTGGTACATTCACATGTTTACTCTTAATTTTAATTTTAATTAAACTGTTTGAGTTACTTAGTCTTTATAAGCTGCAATTCAAAATGGAAAGCAGGCAGAGGACAAAATAAAATGTATATCACTTTTTTTATTCATGTAAATGTAGGAAATCATTTTTTGAATAAAATATATTTCTTGTTTTATTTATAAATAAAGTGGAACATGCAACTGACCCAATACTAGTCGAAGCTCCTGGAGGATCTGAGATTGAAGAACCGTACGAAACTGAAGAACCTAGAATTCTTACACCTGAATCATTAACCACAACAACTTCAACAACGACAACAGAAACTCCTTTCGAGGGAAGTGGAGATGAATGTCGTCAGATGATGCAGTTCGTTGTGCAGATGGTTCAAAAGTAATTTGCTCTGATCAAAAATGCGATGGGATTAAAGATTGTGACGATGGTGGTGATGAAAGAAATTGTCCAACTGACGGTACCTACCATACATTTTGAAAATTTACTAACGCTAGTAGATAAACTATGCCGATTCAAACTCAATTTGCATAATTTTGGGTTGAAAATGGATGTCCCGGTAGACGGGCTCTGGAGGGGTCTTCTTGATTTTGAAGTTGACGTCCAAAAAGATATTCGTGGTTTAAAATAGTCGAAAATAAGACCATCAATAGCCCACAGTTCATTCTGGCTCAATTTGCATAATTTTGGGTAGGAAATGACTGTCCCGGCAGACGCGCGCCAGGGGGGTCTTCTTGATGTTGAAGATGATGTCTAAAAGGGTATTTGTGGTTTAAAATAGCCGAAAATAGGACCACCGGTAAGTGATTCATATTATTTGGGCTACCCTGTAGCCTGCAAATGCATGCAAATAACTGCAATAACCGAGATCGGCCGTCTAAACTCGCCGAGGTCGACGGTAAGCCATTCACTTCGCTGTGGCCTCACATTCTCATTTAATTACGTGCAACATATTATATTTTTATAAAGACGTCCATTACTGTTTCTACATACAAATTAGGCAATAAATAATAAATAGGCAGTAATAACTGAGTATAATTTGCTGATGCAATGAGGCTATTCGAGTACAGAACGTTTGACTTTCAAAAAAATGTTTTTAAGTTTGTATACAAGGGGTTTCTAAAATAGGGTTCCAAACTTCTGCTGTGTTTATAACTCATTAAAATAAGCCAAAAAGTTCCTATTAACATGTGTATTAAAACGCACCCTTAGAAAGTTATATGCCCTTAAAAGGACTCAAACAATACTGTTTTTTTTTCTGTTATTGACAAATCGGTCACAAATAAATAGAAAAAAAATTATGGGTCTTACATAACTTTTTACGTTAAATAACATGGGCTACTCCGTTTTTCGACATGCAAATCATATGCGTCCCATTTAGGTTGGTGAAGGGGGTTTTCGGCCCGTAATTTTTTTTATTTCAATTTTTTTACAATTTTCTCTACAGATTTATAAAATCTTAACAATTTTACGTAAAAAANTCCCGTCTCATTCCTAGAGAGACTCGAACAATTACAAGAAGAATATGGCATAACCGACCAGCAGCTGTTGAGGACGCTGCCGGGTTTACTGCAAGGCAAAGCAAATCAATGGTATATGAATTATAAAAGCCAATGGAAAAATTTCTATGATTTCCTTGAAGATTTCAAAATTTTCTTTTACCCACCGGATTACCGTGACAATATGGAAGAGGTCATTAGTAAAACCTACCAGAACCGTCAGACCACCGCCAAAGATTTCATTTTGGACATGCAGACCATGATACGACGCCATGGAGGTTTCTCTAAAGAAAGAGAACTAACATGCATTTACCGACGGCTAAGACCCGAATACCGACAGTATATCCGCATAAATGCCGTTAGCAATGTAACCGAGCTATTACAGCAGGCCTACGAGTTTGAACAGATCCAACGGGATATGGATAAGTCCGATAAACCGAACAAAACTGTTCAGCCGATTGGGATGTCCAGAACTACCACTCCTGCTGTACCGCGTATCACGGAAGCACCAGGACGTGATACAAGCCACCGACCGTCGCCGACCCATGTTCACACTCCAAGAGAAGGAAACAACCTTACTTGCTGGAGATGTGGAGAACAAGGACACACCCGATTTCATTGCCGACAACCACCGAAACTGTTTTGTTCTCGATGTGGACGCCAGGGAGTCCAATCACGACAATGTCGGTGTACCGTACCTCCGGAAAAACTTCCGCGGAACTGGACAACGAGGAAGCCAACCCAGTTCTCGATTGTAGAGGCTTCCAATCGACGCAACAATTCCGATTCTTACCCCGTTAAGGCCGCTGACTCCGTCGGTGTAGATAACCGGCTACGTGAAGTAGTAACCATAGGCGACAGAAGTTATTCCGCATTGGTCGATACAGGATCAGTCCGATCCTATATTAGCCAGAAAGTTGCTACCTATTGCCAGGGCATGGGAATTCCGAAATTGCCTTTGAAACAGCAGACAAAGGCTGAATTGGCTGATGGAAGACGTATTGAAATTACCGAAGAGTACCGCATTGAAGTTTCCATATTATCAACCGTGATTACCGCCGATTTTCTATTGCTACCGTCGTTAACCACCGATATGGTCCTTGGGATGGATTTTCTCATTGCCCATGGTTGCACAATCGACCTGAAAGGTAGAAAGATTCATATGGGGAACCGTACAACCGCCATTGTTCACGGCACCGCCAACATAGCACTAGTTGCCACTTTAACCGAATCCCAAAAGAGGAAAGCTACGGAATTGATCCAGATAGAACGCAGGGAATCTGAAGAAATTCAGGGACCAACCGATAGAACAAGAGAGCCTACCAGATTGCCGAATCCGAATCCTATCAAGCAGAGATTCCGTGCTCAGAATCCGAGCATGCAAGAAGTAACAAACAAAGTGACAAACGCTTTGTCACGCCGCCCCTTACCGATCACCGAAGTTTCNTTTCAGATAATAATAATTATACTATAGATGTGTCTATAGAAGAAGCTGAAAGACTTAACGGTAAGAAAAAAACACTGCTTCAATATTTATAGGTATTTTTACATTATTTTGTTTTTATAGATGACTTGTATTATGCTCAAGAAGTTCTGGACCTATGTAAAAATGATCAACAATTAGATGCATCAAAAGATTCATGTAATATTGCAGTAGAGCACAATCAACGATCATCCTATCTTAGGGAGATTGTTGTACATAATAGTGAAAATGAAAACGCGGGTGACCAAATAACCGACAGTGACTGTGAACGGCAGTCACAACAACATAGGGAAGAGCAAAATTTCAGAGAAGAATCATCAGCACACAGGCATATTTGGGGATATAATGAAACACTCTCTTTGATAGCATCCGTTGAAAGCCAGTATGAAGATTTAATACATCGTAATCCGAAGATGAAGAATCGTGGTTGGGACAATATACGAAACGATTTACTTAGTGCTAAACATGAAGTAACAATTACAGAATGTAAAAAAAATGGAGCAATTTAGTACAATCTTACAACAAAGCTAAAGATATTAAAGGTAGAGGACCCTCACGATTTTATTTTTATGAAAGTATTGATAATATTTTGGGATCAAAACCAAGTAATTGTAGTTTGCATACAGTTGATTTAGGGAGAGTCTCAGAAAATAATAAAGAATGAAAATACCGATGAATGTAGAACAAACGAAAATGGTGTATGTAATGACCCGGGTCCATCATGCGAAACAATTTTATTGTCTGATTCCAGTAATGTGTCTACAGAATTAAAATGTAAAAAACGAAAACGTAAGCCAATGACACAGAAAGAAGAAAAGCCGCTGAGGCAGGAAAAGAAAGATGAGCAATTTGATCGGAAGATGAAAATTATGGAAAAAAAATTGAATTAGAAGAAAGAAAAGTAAATGCTTTAGAAGAGTATATCGCATTAAAAAAATCTGAGCAACTTTAATACATATTTACGCAACGGCTGTGTAAAGTTGTTATATAGTACCTATATCTTTCGTGTAGAATATATTTTATTTTTGTTAATAAATACTCCATTTGTCAATAAATACTGTTTATTTTGTTGTTATTAATAAATACCTTAAGGTATAAAAGTTTCATGTTATAAAAAGATTACATTTAAAATGCAAACATCTGCTGGAAAATGGCATTTCTTTTATTAACTCCTGCTTCTTCATCTCCATACTCTTGCTGTATCTGTAAAACATCGTAGTCATTGTTGGGTGGGTCAAAGTAATCGATATCTTCTAGATCGTCTAGATTGTAACGAACCTTTCTTAATTTTATCCGTTAAATAGCCGATGAACTATTAACTTTTCATATGTTAGTAATGTAAGCGTGGAACTCTGTATTTATTGTGGGTCTGCGTATTGGCATCCGACGAACTGTTGATCTACGTCACAAACCGGCTATAAAAGGCCGACCTCCGGCACCTGACATTCAGTAGTGTTGATCGGCAATATCCTCAACACGAAGTAAGTCCGCCTTCCCCCCCTTGGTATCGGCAATATCCTACCAAGGCTCCTTTCTCCTTATCCGTCCGTCTGAGGGCAGAGCGTCGGCAATATCCCGCCTGTTCTCAGCATCCTCCCTATCCGTCCGAGAGCAGAGCGTCGGCAATATCCCGTATGTTCTCAGCATCCTCCCCATTCCGCCGTTATCCCGTACAACCGCCAACCTGAATCAAAAGTAGTTTTGCCTACTCCGTTTCACCGAATGTTAGTACCGACCGCCACCGAATTGTCAGTGGGAATTTATTTATTGGTTTGTTTAAAATAAACTGGAGAATATCTATTGGGAAAAGTGGTTTATTTTCTAATCAAGACCCCTGGAGTATCTTTCTCCACTGTTGTTACCCGGACGGCGACTTTTTTTGGGACATCCGGGTCTCACACTGAAAGTTCGTCACATATTTAATGGCGCCCGAGAGCAGGGACCGATTTGATTTGAAAAAAAATTGTTTTCCGAAGGTTTTGGGACACACCGAGCACGAAACTGCTGTCGTTTATGTATCTCCAAAACTACCGCTTATTTTGAAAATCCGAGTATTCCAGAGGACTTCTATGAGCTCTTAAAGCTCAAATCCGCACTTTTCTGCAAAAAGCCGAACTTTGCCGAAGTTTCCCGAAGTCACCCGAAGTCGAGTGAGGTGTCTAGATCAGGGTAATTTGAGCCAAGAAAGCGTTTCCGACTACTCCCGAGAAGATACGATCATTAACGAAGGAGATACGGTAGCCAAA